CAGTACAGGCAGACCAACTCATATAAATATGCTGTAATGTGCTGCAATACATTCAGATGTGATGCAGAGGTGCATTCCAAAAACATGAGGGACAGATACAGAGATGGGTAACATGTTGAGCTCACTGTGTCTGACAGTGAGCTCGCTGTTTGAGACAGTGAGCACCACTGGTAGCACAATTGCCGACCTCGGTAACAAAAACTCGGTATTGAAGGCCGGAGGACCAACAGTGAGCACCGGGATTACCAATCTCGGTATTCAAACCTCGGCATTGAAGGCCAGAGGTCAGCAAGAGCACTGGCAGTGAGCACCGGGATTACAGACCTCAGTAATAAAAACTCGGCATTGAAGGCTGGAGGTGTCCAAAAACTCGGTAATGAGGAGTCGGAAGGACGAGCAATGGATACCGGTGGTCAAAAACTCGGCATTGAAGTCCGGAGGTGACCAAAAACTCGGTGATGGATTCAGGCAGTCAAAAACTCGGTAATGAGGACTGCTGATTGATACCGGTGATCAAAAACTCGGCAATGGGTGCAAAAAACTCGGTAATGAATACAGGCAATCAAAAACTCGGCAGTGAGAGCGGTAATATGCACAGGTGGTCAAAACCTCGGTTGTGAGAGTGGTAATACACACAGATGACCAAACACTCGGTAATGGAGGGACTGCCGGAATCTCGGTAATGAATGCACTGCCGGAAAAAGTGGGTGTTTACTGGAGGACACCTTGTACAAGTGTTTGCACTGTTTGAACTCCGCTGCCACAACCAGAGCATATACAGCACTAAAATCAAGTGCGCTATTCTCGGCACACCTGTGCGCATCTACCGAACCCATTACCGAAAAAAACGAGGTTCACCAGGGGACAACTCGTACGACCGTCTCAAACAGGGTACAAGCTCGTACGAGCTTCTGTAGTGTTTCAATTCCGCCACCTTAACCATGCCACGCACAGCAATAAAACAAAGTGCGCTGTGTTCCAGTGATCTCCGGCAATGCATTGCATGCATTACCGGAAATTTTTGATACCCACCAGGAGCACCTCGTACGACCGTTCCAGACGGGGTACAGACTCGTACGAGTCTGCACACTGTTTCGACAATACCTCCTTAACTACACCAGGTACAGCAATGAAATTGAGTTCGGTATTCTCAGCTTATCCGTGCGCATCTACCGAAAGCATTACCAAAAAAAACGAGGTTCACCAGGGAACAACTCGTACGACCGTCTCACACAGGGTACAGGCTCGTACGAGCCTGCACACTGTTTTGACTCTCCTGCCTTAACTACAGTGCGCAAAGCGACGAAATAAGGTTTGCTGCGTTCTGGTAACCTTCGGCAATGCACGCCATGCATTGCCGAGATTTCCGGGTGTCCGCTCTCTCGGAGGTACTCGTACGACTGTCTGAGACAGGGTACAGGCTTGTACGAGCCTGAGCACTGTTCTGACTCTCCCTCTGTAACCACAACACACACGGCAATGGAATTGTGCGCGCTGCGTTCAGTACGGTTTTGCGCACCTGTAGAATCCATTATCGCAATATTCCGGGTGCCCACCGGAGGTGCCTCGTACGACCGTGACAGACGGCTACAGGCTCGTACGAGCCTGGGCAGTGTTTTTGTTACCCTGGGTGAACCACAGCATGCAAGGTAATGTAATCGGATGCGCCACGTTCGGTACGACCACGCGCATCTGCCGAATCCATTACCGTGATATTCCGGGTGCACACCGGAGGTGCCTCGTACGACCGTGACAGACGGCTACAGGCTCGTACGAGTCTGGGCAGTGTTTTCAATGCCCCGCCCAACCACAGCACGCACGGGGATAAAAACGACTGTTCCGAGCTCGTATGACCCAGGGGAACGTAGCGAACGCATTACCGAAACGTACGGTGCAGTAGGGCACAATGTACGCAGTGGGACGTGCTACTACCGGAGCTGGCTTCCCCTGCTGTATCAGCCCGGTATTGGCTTCCCAGGGGCTGTAGAATATCGTTTTAATTGTTGTTGTACCAATTACAATGTACTAGGGTATGTAGGAGAGTTGGAAAAGCACTAAGCTATCAAGGGGAACTACCTGCCCCCCACATCTCGTACGACCGTTACCGACGGCTACATTACCGGAGCTCGTACGAGCTCGTATGGCCGTTACCGACGGCAACGCGGGCACCTCGTATGGGCGTTACCGACGGGCTACAGCACTGCCACCGAGTGCGCATGTCACGCGATATCAAGCACTTCACGGCGACATGCGATGTGTGTCAGAAGATCAAACCACGTCGACACGGAGGGGTTGGACTGCTTCGTCCTATCCCTATCCCGAGTCAGCCCTTCGAAGTCGTCTGTATGGATCACGTACCCGAGTTACCCCTTTCAGACGGTTACGACAACGTACTAACCATCGTCGACAAGCTGACGAAGTATGGGATGTTCATACCTACAACAACGACAACATCAGCGATCGAGACAGCAGACCTTTACTTCAAACACGTGGTTGCTCACTACGGACTACCTCGCCAGATCATCACCGATCGGGATGCAAAGTGGAGAAGCGATTTCTGGGGACAGCTCTGCAAGAACATGAACATCAAGCGAGCACTCACCACTGCGCATCATCCTCAGAGCGACGGACAGTCTGAGATTCTCAACCAGACCATCGAGATTGCGCTACGAGCGTACGTGTCAGAACAACGCGACGATTGGAGTCGACACCTCGACGCGCTCACCTTAGCGTACAACACGACACCACATTCAGCAACCAACTACGCACCTGCGTATCTCCTGCGGGGATACACTCCCATCACCGGCGCGACCATGCTATCCTCTCCACGCAGCGTTGCCAGGCCAACTCCTCGCGATTTGAGTGGGGGAGGGAGTCTGGGGGAGGAGAGTCCGCAAAGCGAACTGTCTAGACATCAAATCGCCGACGAGATGGCTGCACAATTCAGAGCAGATCAGCACCAAGCGCAACAAGCGATCAAACTGGCTCAAGCGTACCAGAAGAGAGCTTATGATAAGGGCCGACTCAACTATGAGTTCGAGGAAGGAGACTTGGTCTTGATCAACCCCCACAGTCTCGAGCTTCTGAGGAAGGAGACTGGAAGAGGACGCAAGTTACTAATGAAATTCGACGGCCCATTCGAAGTCATTAGAAAACTCAACGCAGTAGCGTATCAACTGCGACTACCCACCTCGTACAAGATCCACCCGGTAATCAATATCGCGCACCTGGAACCGTATCGATCGTCGCCACCAGAGTTTGGAGATCGACCAACGAAACGAATGAGTCGAGATAGCTTTGAAGAGCTGCCAGAAGAAGAAGTCGAGCGGATAGTTGGAGAGAAAGCCGTGCAAGGCAAAGACGGGCGTCGCAAGATACTCTACAAGGCGAGATGGGTGGGAAGACCCAGCCACGAAGACGAATGGCTCACACGGGATCAATTACGCAATGCTCCCGAAGTCCTGCAAGTGTGGGATCAGCGCGATAAGGGCCCAGCACGAGGAACACTCACCGATCAACACGAGACGAAGGAGAAGTCGGAGGCGCATGAGCCCAAGGGATCAGATAAGATTGAGTTGTCGATGCAACTTGTCCGAGAAGATCCAATCTCAACAGCGTCCGAAGCAGCACACCAGACAAAGCAAAGGATGAAACACACTACCGCTTCGAACACGGAGGAATGCCACTCACCACCGGGGAACATACGCATCAGCTCGCGTCTGCAAGAGAAGAAAGAAAAGAGGAGCGGAGTGCCACAGCCACGATATGGCGGACGACGAGGATAAGAAGACAGAACACCAGCGCTACTCGTCACCAGACGGAACTCATCGTCAACCAGCGCCGGCTCACTCGCAACCGCGACAAAACCCCTCTTCATCTTCATCATGCCCTCCACTCTCGAACGGGAATCCGGTCGTATGGGATTGCCCTTCTACCTCTTCGCTACGATCCTCCTCTTCAACTTAGACGTCGCGGCATTAGCGCTCACGCGGGATCTTCGCGTCAACGACGATGACACGTGCGAGCTCCAAGTCACGCTTTCCGCCACCCTCCACGAACGCCTTCTTTATCTCCTCCGAGTCGTCCGCCTTGCTTCCAACGCTATCGTCCCCGACGAGATCGCCGCCAGCGCCGATGTGGACTTCAATCTCGCGGCTCTCTCCGAGCTCGGATCAGACTTTCCTCCTTTCCCCGTCCTCCTCTTCCTACAATGTTACCCGGACTACAACCAACTCTCCAGACCAACCCCTCGATCCGTCTGGGCGAAAACCTGGTACGACTACCAGCAATGCGCGCACGCATCCATGGACTGGATCGCGAGAGCCATGCGGACCTCGGTCGGGACTCACGGAGAGATGTCTGCTTGGAGGTGGACCCCGCATTCGTTCTCGCCCTCGTGGGTGATAATCGGAGAAGATTACGGCGACGTACTCTCGGCGAGGAGTCTCCAGAAGACTTGTCTAGGCGCGGATCTCATCGCCGAGGCGATGCGAAGCCGTGGCATCCTTCGCGCCATCGCCAACGTCCTCGGAGTCGCCGACATCTACGTCCTGGTCTACTGCGACGACATCCTCGTTGTAAACGCGAACCCCGGCGTTCTTCACGGGTTCGACCTCGTCTCCGTAGTATCCGGAGTTATCACCGAGTACGAGAGAGCTCGTCGCCCCGGCCGGTTTCTCTGGACTGTCACGCCGCGGTCGACTACACATGGATTAGTACCGACTCTATCCATGACTCCGCTCGAAGTCGGCATGGACGTTGATTAGCTTACTCTGCTCCCTTTTACGTTCTTCGAGATTCGATTCTACGCTGGGGGAGGCATGTCATGGGACGAGTCTAGATTAGATTAGATATGTTAGCGTAATCTCTCTCTCTCGTCCGGATCAGTTCTTTGTTCCGTTCATGTATATAAACGCGCTCCGCAGGAGCGCGGCACGATCCTCACTCTACTCTTTACCACCATCAGTCCGTGTGTGTTTCTTTGTCCGTTCGTCCGTCCCTTAAGTCTCGTTCATCGCGTCGCCTCGAACACTCGAGCGACGATCCAAGGGCTGTAGCCTTCTCTCGAAGAGCGCCCTGTCTGAACAACTGAGTGACTACGACGATCGTCAGGAGGAATCCTACGAACCGCTTCGCTGGAACTTAACAGGTTCCAGAACATCCAGCCCGCTCCGAGATCGACATTATCCCTGCGCAGGAAGTCGAGGACGTATTTGTAAGTCTTCTTGTGAAGGGGCGGTAGGCAGTACCCAAGGGGGCGCGGTCGCTCCTCCTACAGACGAAAGTCAGATGTTGTCAGCTAGATGATGCAAAAGCGCACCTTGACCCATACGAAGACAGGCACGACGCCCTTCAAAAAGCGAAACTCGGCAAGAGGAGCCGCCAGAAACTCGTTGTTGGCGGTATCCTGAGCGTACAACTCCGCTCCCAGGCCGATACACCGCCCGCTCGCCCGTCCCCCACGAACCAGCACGCTGCGGGTTTGATTGGTGACCGAAATCTTAGCGTCTGATACGTTCCCCAAGATCCAGTTGGCGCGGGATCCCCATACCATGAGCTTTCCCTCAGTGCCCGCGCGCTCCTCCACGAGACGGATGCCTTTGAGAGCGACGTCGGAGGGCATAGCGACGTCTCTGTACGTAGACTTCGGGTTGCCACCCCCCTGGTGCCGTACGTAATCAACTACAGGACTCTAGGGAAACAGTTCAGAAGACTTACCCAGGGCCATATCATGAACCTAACGCTCCCCGTCTTCGTCTCGTCGACGTCCTGCGTGGGTGGGCCAAGAGGGACATGGCCGGCCTCGGCCTCGACAGGGTCTTCGTTCATTCCAGGCGGGAAATGGACCGTGGCGTTGTCGATTGAAATGACGTCGGGTTGAGTAAAAATTGCTTCATGGGGGATAGTCGTTGGGGGAGTGGAGTGGACGCTTTCAGGAGCGGGCGAGCAGGATTCATCCATATCGGAGGTAAGGAGGAAGTGGAGGGATCTGAAATTTTGGCGCACTCGAAACGCATACACGCCACCCGAGCCCACACCGGCGCTTGAAAGCGCGACGACGCGACGACGTCCCACGCGACGACGACCGAGGTACCTGTTCACTTTCGCTACTAAGATGATCGCTTAGGTCGACGTTCGCTTCTACGATACCGTTTAATGGCTACGTATATGTATTATCTACTTCGCGGCTCCACTGGTCCCCTTCTTGCCTCGACCCTTCCCTGTCGTCTCCTGCATACCGCCAACGGTCGTTGAGATCTTCTTGCTCTTCGCGTCCGACCTACTCTCGAAAGTTAGACGCGAGACTGGCTCATGGGTTGTCAACTCACGTTTCGAGAGCTTGACCGGCGCGTTTCGCGCCGCGCTTGGTCGAACTGCTGCTCCCGCGCTTCTTCTCAAGCTCATCCAGGATCCGATTTGACCTGATCCATGGTTCAGTTCAACGTAGCAATAGACACGAAAATGCCACTCACTCTTCGGCGTCCTTCAGCCTACGACTCTTCTGGCGTGCTCGCGGTGCGTGCTCGGTGTCCGCAGGGGCCGCGCCTGCAGCCTGAGACTCAGGCGCGCGTTCGGCGTTGGCGTTGGCCGTGGGCACGGCGGAGCGGGGGTGCAGACTTGGTCTTGGGATTCCTTGCACGCGGAGGGTCGGTGGTGGGGTCGGAGACCGGAAGAGCCATCGGGACTTGGGCAGGGCCTTCTTCAGGGCCTTCGCCGGAGTCTTTGACGGGGCCTTCTTAGACGACGTCCGCGTTGCATCTGTGACGGTCGCGGGCGTGGCGTTGACGTCGGCGGGGGCGTAGCGTCGGCTTCGGTAGCAGGCGTGGGTTGGCCTCGTCGGGGGGCGGTGTTGGCGTCGGTCGGGGGGTCGCGGGTATCGTCCGAGCGTCAGCGTGGGGGGGGGGGGGGCGCGCGCGGTCGCGTGTGGGGGGGCGGGGCGCAGCGTTCGGGCGCAGCGTGTGCATCGGGCGGCGCTCTGTGTGGTGTTGGGGGCGGGCACGGCGTCATAGGTGGTAGCGACTTCCAACGTGAATGCCACCTGGGAAGTCGCATGCGTGACGACGTCCTCCTCAGGGAGATCAACTGCACGAGAGATGCGTGTTAGCGTGGACGACAACGCGGACGAGAGGCGTTCGTGGAACGCATCAGGGTCCATCATCCACGCTAGTACCTCGTCGGAACACACTATGAGGCGGTGACTCCGACTGGCAAACGAAACCACATACGTTGTGATATGTTGAGGGGGTCGTCATCAACATCTAGGAGGAAGTCCGCTACACGAGCAGGCGCTTTAGGATGCGGCTTCATAAGTATCTCACAACGACGTACGGGTCGCGGACTCGCTCATGGCCGCGTGCTCTTCGTCTGGGACCGAGCCACCTTCGGAGGTGTCGCCTGAACGAAGTAACGACAATGATTAGAAAGCACTGAGTCATTGCCAAAGTGCTCACCGCTCGTGTGCGACTTTGGCGGCACGCCGCTTTGACAGACGGTTGTCACGACTTCGTTGGTTTGCTCCGCTAAAACCGATATCAGACGCGGAACAGGGAGTCGAAGAGTGACGCACCATTTATGCTGGAGTAAGCCCACACATAGATCAGGGACGTCAGTTCCTCTGTAGATATTCTCAGCCTTGTGCATAGATACGTCCAGAGGGTCTCCTTCGTCCTCGAGACCCCATTCTCAATGCTGGATGGCACGTTAGCGTTAGAGGCGGCGAGAAAAGAACACGGCTCACATTTCAACCTTGACGCCGGAGTCGTTAGGCCCGCACAGGATAGTGGTGACGAAACAGTCGGTAGCCTTGATACGGCCTCATGGAACTTGATCGTGGACTCGGGGAGCATATCGCGAGCACTACATGTTGAGATGATCTCGCTGTAACTCAAAATGCGAAGGACGTACTCACAACGACTTATCACCGTTATTCATCGCCTCAACCCTCCTCGCCGTCTCTTCCTGAGCGGCATCGATGTACGGTTGCTGCTCCTCTTGAGAGAGGTTGTTCCATTCGTCGCGATACTCCTTCATGATCTCGTGAATGACGCCTTGCCTCTTACCTTTGTTGCCAGACGCCTCTGCCACGGAGGCATCGCCGACATCGTCCTGCTCCCATTCACCACCGAAGGCCAGCTCCGAGTCGGTTGTGTCACCGTTTACGCCCAGGTCATCTTGAACGCTGATGACTTGCCCAGCTGTGCTCTCCCGAGCGCGCTTGTCCTGCTCGGCACGTTGTGCGGCGTAGATATGGACGGGCTGGCGCTTCTGGGGGACGCGATTGAAGGAAGGGAGATCAATGACGACGACCGGGGCGGGGCGTGGTGTTGCGTGATGGGCTTTGCTCGCCTTGGTCAAGAAGTACTGCAACAAGAGTCAGTAAGCGCACCCTGAGGTGAGGGAAGTACGGACTTTACGAATAACGCCGAGCCTTGCGTTGTATTGCGACTCCGTCTCCTGCTCCTGACGCCGTCCGAGGGGGTCCATCTTGAAGAGACGAGTGAGAACGTCGCGATGGCCTCGTTGATGCCGACGTGCTGGATCGCCAGATTCTCCGCATCTTCGGGGGACAGGTACTCCTTAGGGGCCAAAGTCTTGTTCGGGTTGGTCAGGAGTGGAGCGATGCGATCGCTGGTCCATTGCTTGGAGAGCCAACCCTGGATATCTTCGGTGACTTCCGGAGCACCGGGCTTGCGACCACGAATCTTGACCTTCGCCGCCTCGTCGGAAGGAAGGAGTGAAGGCTTGCGACGACGAGCCTTGGCGGCCTTGCCGTTCTGAGAGGGCGGCATGTCTGAGGGGAGGGGAAAGGGGAAGATAAAATTTCGAAAACAACGAGATTCCGCACTCACGTGATCTCGTCCCACCAAAGGCTTCAGCCGCGTCTGGTTCAGCGCCAACGTAACAATGGCGGGTCGCTTCTAAACCTCACGGAGAAGCTACAAAGGAGCGGGACAGTTAATCTTCAGGCCAGGCGACGACCATGTGCTGCATAGCGAGCCTTGGTGTAGTACTACTGTTATGAGAGTCAGCCAGTGTACCCTGAGGCGAGGGAAGTACGAACCTTACGCATGATACCGTGTTTGGGCTCCGTCTCCGGGTGCTAGCGCCGTGCGAGAGTGTGATTCATAAGGAGATTCAGAAGGACGTAGGCATTGAGCTCGTTGAAGTCGACTGTCCTGATGGTGATCATCTTGAAAGGAAAGAAGAATCCGATTTCGCGGCTCAACTACATACACATGACCTCGGAGTTCTCGTACATGTCGTAGCGCTAAGACATCAGTCCGTCTGACAGGGGATGGGAGGGATGGGGAGTCTCCCGTAACACGACGTAAACTTCGTAACGTAGAAAAGCGCAGCCTCCCGTTGCAGGTGATCGTAGTCTTCCGAGGTCCAAGACGCTGCAGTACGCATCTGACGGAGAACGCCGGGAGAATCAGGCCACTGAGACATCACCGAGATGAAGCGACGCAGATGAAGGACCGAGTTCTCCCACTCGCCGTCGTGAGATCGAGGCCACATGAAGGGCTCGCTACCCGGGCCAAACACGGGACGACGCTCGCGAGAGAAGCCTCGGGTCCCCACACTCCAGAGACGTACGCCTCCCTTCCCCACCGCTCCATGACCGACATCGCGGCCCGAGGCACGAGCGACGCGTCGAGAGCGCTGAGCTCGCACCGGAAGTTGACTTCGTGGGACTCCCAAAGCAGCAAAGCTCGGACTCGGGGATCAGTGGCCGCGACTTCCGCAGTCACAGCGATGCCGTTCAGGTGCTCCACCGCGGAGGAGTTGTACGAGTCGAGGGCTGCGCCGTTGCCGAAAAGACGCGCGACCCCGTTCTTATTCTCGATCTTGCGCTTGAGGCGGCGGTCGGTGCTTTCGGGGGGAGCATGTTTCACCTCATAGTCACCCCACAACGCAGCGCGCCATTCCGCGATCGTCAGAGGCTCTCCAGAAACGAGGGGATCGAGCAGGCGAAGTCGGCAGAACTCGCGGATGCGCACGGCATTGTGGAGGTATTGATGCACCTTGGTATCGCGTCGCAGCTGGTCGGCGCCGGCGGGTGGGATGAGCGATGGCGTCATATCCGACACCGTGTCGAGCAAGAAAGGCGGGGGGTAGAAGTAATGCACGGAGTGTCGCGGCTGCCCCAGGGGGCTGACTGATCGGAGCGCCGCCTCCCAAGGCTCAGGGATGAGGACGAACGAAGACGGGGTGAAGGATCTTGCTGGATGGCGAGCCTCGGGAGAGTGATCGAGCGTGACGGCGGACGACGACGCGGCACTCGTTACGACAGATTTGGACTTCTTCCCGCCCCTCCTGGTCTTCTTCTTCGGGCCGTCGCCGGGGCGCGTCGGAGGTGCCTGCATTTCGGTGGCAGGCAGCTCCAGGCGTCGGGTCTTCATGGGACCGTCGTCCTCCCGAGTGTGCGTGTCCGCGGCGGTGATATCGAAACGTGGCAGGCGGCTAGTGCACAATTGACCGGTGACGGCGAAGACGAGGTTCGAGACCCAGCTGCTCGTGAGATTGGCGATCGCTCCGAGTTCGTCGGGATGGTGGCGCATGGGTGGATCGGTTTCCTTACCAGACAGGAAGTAAGGGAAAGTGCGGTCGACCACGTTCCACACCTTGACCTGGGGGGAGAGTGGCTGAAGAAACCAAACGGGCAGCCCGACACGAGTCGCCAGCTGAGCAGTGGCCGCGTCGCGCGCAAAGACGCCAAGAACCGGAAGCAAGTCTTCGCTGTAGTCCTCCGCGCTGTCCAGACGGGGGAGCAACACCGTGAGGTAGGTGCGCAGACCAAGCAGTTCCAAGCCGACGCGTTGAAGGTGCGCGCCCACGGCAACGGCCACGGGTGCGTAGGAAGGCAGACGATTCATGCGGTCGAGGCACTGGCTGACCACGAGGCAGAGTTGGTCGCCATACGCTCGGCGTTCCGGGGTAAGGCCAGAGACCTGTTGAAAGGCGTCGGTGGCGTAGCGTGCGCCATTGGTGAGGTCATTGCGAACGTCGGCTTTGAGGAAACCTAGGCCGGGGACTCCGACTGTTCCGTCTTCCACCCAGTCTCGCGACGGCATCAGAAGCGACCAGAGGATAGGGGGCATGAGAGGGTGAGGATGACGAAGTGAAGGGATGCAGGCGACGTGCCACATGCCGCGAATAATCGGCTGGGGCCAGCGGGAGTACTCGTGTTCGCCCCACAGACCGTCCTGGTACGTTCGCACCACCTTGCGCTCTACGGGATGGGTGGGAATCCAGTCCTGGTTTGGGGACGTCACCACCATTGTCGAGAAACCGTCGGTGGACGCTGATTTGGCGTCGAATGGGTGCGTGACTTTGGGACCTGATAACAATGAGACAACGCATCGGTAAAGAAGGAGCGGACCGACAAGGATTTCGCTGGTTGACGACGAGCACCGCTCGCGCGGACGACGCGAGAACATCTTCCTGAGATGCAGCGTTGTTGACTGGGGTGGGCATGACGAACACTGATGTCAAAGACGGAAAGCGTCAGCGCGATGAACGTGACGCCCCCGAGGCCACAAGTGTGGTGGAAGGCGCATACCCAGAGCGAACTGGGATGCGCGCGACCTCGAACGAGTCCACGCGGAGCGTAGCACTCCACGCACGGACCTCGTCTACAAGTGCAAAACGGACGGCGCACATCCAGAAAGCACTGGCAGCGCACGTCCGGGAACAGAGGGACCCAAGCGTAACACTCGGAGTCACCAATGGACCGACGAAGAAGATGTAGCAAGGATGAGCCTACCTAGGGACGGGTTCAAGAGAAGGAAACGAGAAATGCGCACGACGAAGACGACAGAGAAGTCGAACACGGGCGCGTGACGTTTCCGCGCCTAGATGCGATCCGGCGTCCCACGGTTGAGGAAGTCCGATCAGACGCCAGCACCACTTGCTCCGTAACGCCGAAGTACGCCTGGGTTATGTTCCCGAGCGCAAGGTGGTAACGGGCTCAAGGTTGGGATGCCTCGCTGTGCTGCGCAGTGATGAGCATCCAGACGAAGTACGACAGAAACGCGTTGGGGCCCATGGTTCCCGGCTGCGCAGGACAAGAACTACTGTGTACCACCGCGTACGTGGCCGCTGGCTGGCTGGCTATGTCCTCTGAACATAATCGATCACCTAGACGGTTCAGAACGAGTGAGACGAGTATCTGATGTCACTTTCCGTGGGGATCGGGGTGGCGGACGTGTAAATTAAAAGCGCATGTATACTGCATAGCCGTAAACGCTTAAATTGAGCCTCCATCGATCTCCAGATCGACGGAGGCAAAACAGAGAGCTTGCGAGGAAAGCCATGTGAAAACGACGACAACGGCCGGCGGATGCGGAAGCGTCCCGACCGGCCGAAACCCTTGCTCTCGACGACGTCCGACATCACCTTCCCGTCCTCCCTGGCTTCAGCCGTACTCCTGAGATCTCGACGTCGTCCGTGGCCGCTGAAATTATCGTCCCTTGCCCCGGTGCCCCGACGTCGACCTCAGTGTGCTCCCCCCTATTTCACAGTCCTCGACGTCGAACCTCGACACTCCCATACACCACCCTTCCTCCTCTCCCTCACCGTAGTATATCGCGGAACCGGGATAACTCTGCCATGACGAAGAACTATAAGAGGAAGAAAAAGGCAAACGGAGAGCTGCGAGGCCCGGACGTGAGTCTCTTCGGGCCCAGCGACATGGGGAAGCGTCGAAAGATGAGTCCGGAGCATCCTCGGTCCACACAAGCGGACATGTATGCATCCAGTGCGCCCTCCCAGGCTGAAGCAACGAGCTCGAAAGGGGTCCAGTCGGATTCAGGGCCTCACACATCAAACTTCGACGACGCATCGCACGCTGGCCCGCAACCCCCACCATTGGATGACGAGCGCAGCGGCCCGAAGGCCAACAACACCATCGTGAGTGACCCTTTGGAAGAGATGATATACCCCATGTGACACGATACTCCAGCCACCGAACGAACGCACCGCGCAGTTTGAGAAAATGATCCCGAACGCACTCAGAGCCCTTCTCGAACGCTTGCAGCCACCGCATAAAGACGATCTGTGTCACGCGTGCCAGCTACAAGGCATCGAAACGCCACTCCCTGATTTCAGCGCTCGCTTCTCGTGCGAAGATTGCATTCCGAGCCCCGCTTTCTGCACAGAATGCGTCAAGAAATGGCACCACTTCACACCGTTCCATCGCCTGCTCGAATGGAAGACACAGAAACAAACCTGGCTGAATACGACACTATGCAACTTGGGCGATATCATCGTCATCGGGCACCCTGACGGCAGCAAATGCGCATCCACGTCGCAAGAGACGCCGCTCACCATCATCCACGAGCACGGGTTCTGCGTCGATTACAAGGTCCGCTACTGCAAGTAAGCGGTGATGTTTTTGACACCGTTCACGCCTAACTGACGCCCCACGTGAACAGATGCAGGGGCGGGGCAGAAACGCTTCAACGACCTCTTTGTCTGCTGGAACATGGTATATTCCCGGGATCGTGGTCCAACAACGTTGGCACCGCGTACACCCTCAACGCGTTGAAGATTCTCGACGCGAATCTCGTTCAAGCCCAGTCCAGCATGCACGATCTCTTCATCGTGCTCACACGTTTGACGGACGAGATCGCAAGATTGGACACTCTCGTGAGCGAGTTTCTGCTACTCCTGGTTCGCGGTCTGACGTCTAACCAGGACCGCGCAAGGCAACTCTTGACCGCGATGCGAGAATACAACTTCCTTATGACGTGCATGCGGCACGGGGTGGTACCAGAGGCCGGGAAACCTCTGGAGAGGAACGCGTTGGCGTTGGCGTGCCCTCTGTGCCCACAGCCGGGCATCAATATGCGTCCAGGTTACCAAAACAGGGATAAAAAATACCAGTGCGTGCTTCGTACTTGCGGGAGAACACCGCTAACATCCAAGGCCAGATACCTCGACACACCGTACCTCGTATGGGACGGCAACTTTCGCCAACATATGCGACCCAAAAAGGTGGATATGGAGGACCAGAGCCTATACCGTGGTGCGAGCTACTTTGCGGACAGCAAAGACCTGGAGAAGCACTTGAACCTGATCGGAGAGGAGGACAAAGAGGTGAGAAGGCCCGTTGATACGTGCGGCGCACACCGCGTGAGCTGACGCGTCGAAAGCCTCTGACTTGCCACACATTCAAAGCCGCGGGCTACACTGGCCACACAGGAACGGTCGCTGGCCTAGTGGCGGGTGTTTGCCGACACGGTTTAGTACTGGGTGGGAGCGCCGTCAACCTGTCGAAGGGAGAACGGTACGTGCGCGCGCTACACCAAGACACACGTCGCTGACGTGGAGATCAGGTTTGCAATGGTAGACTTCTCCATGATGTCGGCGTGGGCGCCATACCACGCCTTACCGAGAATGAAGATGTGGTATGATGTGGGATGCATGTTCGACGTCAACCTGCAAAAGCGACTGCGCAAGATGGCGTCCCACGCCCGGCAGCTTCCTTCCGTGGGGGACCTGAACAGTGAGAACCTACCGAAGATCGAAGTGGCCATCAGCGACTTCCACATAGGAGCGCACAAGACGGAATGTCATACGAGACACAACGCCAACCTTCGTCATGGGAGCGCTCGAACGGCTGGCGAAAACCCGGAGCCCCTCTGGGCTCAACTGAACGGGGTCGCGAGTCGCACGAAGGAGATGGGGCACGCACATCGTATAGACACGCTGACGCGTTCGATCGACGACATCAACATGAAGAAGATCATCCACCAGCGTGAGCAGACCTCTCACGTGTTGCGCTGCACGTAACTGACCACAGCACGGACGTAGCGCAAACGCAGAGAGACCTATACGACGTCGCGGTGGAATGCTGTAAAGACCAGAAACAGTACTACGAAGGCCTCGAGGCCAGCCTGAAGAAACATCGACCGGAGCTTCTGGAGCAGTGGAAAGGAGAGTTTAAGACGTGGGAAGAAGAGGTGGTGGACGTGGACAAACGCAAGATGGAGGGGTTTCAGAACCCCTTCGAGCTGAAGGAAGACTGTGAGCCCGTGACGCCGTTGTGTTTGCGAGGAGGCCACTGACCACCCACCAGCATCCACGATGGAAGCCACCGCGGACCGCCTACGCTCGGGCGAGGAGAAGCTCGAGACTGCGGCTCCAGTCGACGACGACGAGATGAAGGACGCCGTGGGTGTCATTGAAGACGCCATCAAGCTGGAGGAAGAAAGGTGGGTGTATCGTACGACGCACGAGGGGTGGGGATCTCACGATATGCGTCCAGGACGTGTCTGTTGGAAGAACTGATGCAGCCCAAGGTAGGGGATACGCCGAGGAAGCTCAGGGGGCTACAACAACAAGTCCAGATTTTCGCCGCAGAGGCCAGCGAGATGGAAGAAAGATACAAGCTTCACGTATCCCCCTCTCTCTCGCGTGCGGCGAACAAAATCCGCACGACGCAGGCCCAACTCCCGAACAGCTTCCCGCTGGACCCAGAGACGGAGAAGCCCCTGCCCAAAGACCTCTCTAACGTCCCCAACGAGCTCGCGCGGAACCTGGTGCGAGACCTGGAGGCCGTGTCGATGGTCGAATTGCCCTCTAGCCATCACGTTTCCATCCGGACACACGGCGCCGCTGACATGATCGTCGCCGTAGAGCGGCGGCTACGGATGGCGCAGGCAAAGCAAGCTTTGGACGAATATCGCGCCCTCCTCGCAGGGGCGAAATCGCTGAGTATCATTAACTCGCAAGGTGTCGGCCTGACGCATCGAAAGAGGATGCGGGACGCGGCGAAAGAGCCGGCAATTCGTCGCGAGGAGACCAGAATCAAATACACCGAAGCGCGCAGCAAGATGGCGCGGTTGACGAAGGAGGAGAAGGATCCCCACCTGCAGGCCTTGAAGTCCGTGGAGGCGGATACGCAGATCTTCACTTTAGACCACGCAGATCGCAAGAGAGGCGACACTCACCGTACCCCAGACTGGATATGGGGAGATCTCGAATGGCTGTTTCAAATGAACGACGATGACATTCGAAAGATACTTCCCAGTGAGTAGACACAGAAACCTTGTCGCACGACTGACGATGACAACGATCTCGCAGAGGTGAAATGTCACTGGTTCAGATGCTTTGCGGGGCAATATCGTTGGCAGGAAGAGGTCTATCTACGACCCGAAGAAATGTATCGCATGTTCGCCACATACGACTTTCACATCGCGCGATTCGACAAACTCGCCGAGGATGCGAAGAAACACCAACCGGGTGATACGACAAATAAGACGTCACCGCGACTGGGCGCCGCGACATTCTACTACAGGTACGGTTGTACTGAGCTCATTTACATCGAGATCGCACTGACCCCGGACCAGGAAGAAGCACAGCTGGGAGAAGCTCAAGGAGGCGGCGCAGGAGGAATATCCCGAGCACCTGTACAAGGTACGCTCGTATGATTCCTGTGACTCGGACGAGGGATCTGAAAAACGAATAAGGACACCATGGGCCTCCCTGAAAAGGAGTAGGGATGGCCAAGCGAGGACAACGTCCAGTCTCCGGGCGGTGTGAGGAGCCCCAGTAAGAGACCGGATCTGCGTGTTGCGCGGTGATGCGCACGCGCGCGCGGCGCGCCTCGTGCCAAACCACCCGCTGCACCTCCACCACCTGCGCGCCGCACCGACCGTTCCATCAAAAACGCACCCGCACCACTACCCCGCCGACTCGCTCGCGCACAATCCCCCATGGGATGCGCGCGCATCGCCGCCACCACGTTGCAGCGCACGCGCGGCCCGACATCCTCCCCGCACCTACCACCCCTCATTCCTCGCCTCCACGCATTACAACCACCTCGCCGACTCGCTCGCGCACCGTCTACGGCAATGCCCCATGGGACGCGCGCGTCGCCGCCACCGCGTTGCTGCGCGCGCGGCCCGTCCTGCATTCGCCCTCCCCCGCTCCCCCGCACATACCACTCCTCTTGCATCACCTCCCCGCATTCCGTGTTTTCGGTAGTTTGTTACTGAGCCTCTCGCTTCCCCGCATCTCCCGCCCCGCCGCGCACTCGCTTCCCCCTGCGCGTGGCCGACTTCCGGTAGCGCACGGAGTCGACGGAATCGCATGTGATCCAACACCCCTTTCGTGCGTCATCCGGCGTTAGCGTCCCATAAACGGAGTGTCTGGCCGACCATGCTATAGGGCGAACTCCGCCCGTGTCCATATGTAGATGACCCCGCGCACAAGAAAGGGGGTGTTGACGGTAATGGTAGCAGATCGAGGGCGACTGGTGTGTGTCTACTTAGCAGGAGGCGTCGGACCTCTCGGCATGGCTTCCCCCACCTGTCCCCTCTGTCTCGAAGAACATCTTGAGGGAAGAGACGACGAAGAAGCAGTAAACATGCGTGAAACAAAGAACAAGTGAGTCATGCAATAAGCGACGGGAAGACTGCTGACTGGTGAATAGGCTCCTATATTATCCCTTGATAGTCTTCGACGGGAATTTCCGTACCAGGAGGCCGCGCAGGAACGAGCACGACGACAACATCCCCCTCAGGCTCCACGGAGGGAGCTCCAACTCGGAGAGCGCAGAACTCGATGCGCATCTGCAGGAGCAGGGTTGCCCAGTAAGACTGCAGTTCTATCGACTGCGACATGTTGAGTCTAATCCCTTGTGCGTGCGCAGGACGAGACAGGGGCTGACGACCGTGAGCATGACCGGGAAGAAAACGAAGTACTCGATGGAAACACGAAGGTTGGTCCGGCGGCAACGGGTGCCACGGAGAACGAGGCGCACTCACGACGAGTCTCACGTGCAAACCGAGACCACGGCGCGACGGGGGAAGGTCCGGAGACGCTTGGGGCGCGGTAAAGAGCGTGGACAGAGGGAGGTGAATCCGGCTTGTGAGGCTTTCCTTGCACACGGCGCACGCAGGGGCGCATAGCGTGGAGAGACCCTGACATCGACTTCAGCAATGAAATAGCGCCGCGCGTCGTCCGCCCGCGAGTCATCGCAGACATTACAGTCCTTAATACAGACGATCATGCGCACGCCACGCGGCCACGCACGCGGCGCACCTCGTACCAAACCACCCGGCTGCAACCGCACCTGCGCGCCGCACGGCGGTTCGCGCGCGATGGAGTGGGCCGCGAGCTATGGGTGTTCGCCATATCGCGGATGAAGGTGCGTGCGCTTAACAGCAGCGACGCGCAAGTTTCATGTTTTTGGGTCGAGTCTTCGTGACCCTCGCACGCACTCGCCACCTCGCGCTTGCACGACTATTCGCGCACGTGCAGAGCGCGGGAGAGGAGGAGAGGCACGCATCACGGGGCGGCAGTGCTAGAGATCATATCCTCGACGCGGCCCGCTCGAGGACGCACGGGACATCGATGTAGACAAGCGGTGTCGGGGGTACGAGTGTTGCGGGGAGGACGGTCCGCACGGCCTCCTTGGATGAACATCCTCCGGGCTAATGTGGCGCGGATATCCAGGAATATGGTTGGGCACCATCAAGGTGGCGTGTTTCGGCGGGCGGCAGGTGATAGTGGCGCGGGTCCAGATGCGAAGGGCGGGCGCGGCACCCCCTACGGGAAAGCGCGCCCCGCAGGGGCGCGCGCGCGAAGTGGACGCACCCCTCGCAAACGCGCGCGAGGTGGACGCACCCATCGCAAACGCGCGCGAGGTGGACGCACCCATCGCAAACGCGCGCGAGGTGGACGCACCCATCGCAAACGCGCGCGAGGTGGACGCACCCCTCGCAAACGCGCGCGAGACGGTGCGCGTGAAGGGTGTGCGTACGTGCAGCGCGACAAGGGTATTGGGCTTCGCGCGCGTGCGCATGCTCGTTTGCGCCGAGAAATGAAGCAAATGAAGCGGGGGATGGACGCGCAGTACATAGGGTGCCGGTTTTCGAAAAGCAGCCCGCGGGCGCTGCCGGGGGGCGGGTTTCGAAAAGGGATGGGCTAGGGAGGCGCAGGCGTTGGGAGGCTTTTCGAAAATGTTGATGGCCGTTAGGGGAGGCAATGAAAGTAGGGCTTATAATCACGTAGCCCGGACAGAACAATAAGTGATGGTGGCCCAGCGGTCTACGCTGGGCGCATATTTATGCATCAAGTTCCGAGAGGTGTCTTGGATCGACTCCGACTTGAGGATTATTTTCATGAGGCGCCCAGCCGCCGGGACGCGAATGGCACGACGCCCATTTGCCGTGCCTACCCGATTTGGTAATAGCACTCTGCCAAAGGATCCCATGAATGGGGTTCATGGTATTTCTAATACGTACACTGCTACGTACGGCTGGAAATGGCCTCTCTATGGACCCCATCGATAGCTGTCCTCCCGAGATCTTTACCGTCATCATCCAACACATCGTCGGCCCCGCTTCTCAAACAGACGATGGCAACGAGCCCTCGACCGAATGGCTCCGTCTGCTCCTCGTTTCTAAGGGGTGGCGAGATGCTATCGTCAGCACGAAGATGTTCTGGAGTGTAATCCACGTCCGTGGAAAAAACGCCGAACATTGGCTGAAGCTGTCCCTCGATCGGGCTCAAGGTGCTGCCATTGATATCAATATCGACGTAGAGAATATCCCTCGCTTGGAACTTACCTCGGTACTCCACCACGCCTCCAATATACAATCGTTGACATTCGACACTCTGCTGAAAAAACACCTACCAGAACTGAACACGTTTCTTGCATCCAGCGCATTTCCTCGCTTGACGAAAATCTCCGCGCGGAAAGGCTGGGAACCTTGGTCTCCTCCGGCAGGAGAGGCTCTTCTCCTGAACGGGACAAACATCCCGCGCCTAAAGACACTGCACTTGTACAATCTGGCATACCTCGCGGAGTCCTCATTCTTCCAACACCTGGAGAAGCTTTTCATTTGTCTCACCTTTGAAGTGAATCGCTCCGCGGAACTCATGGAAGCCCTTCCGGCCATGAAGCGACTCAAGTCCCTTCGCCTTCAATGCCTAGACGCTGAAGAAGTCCTCGCCCGGGTTCCCCCGAATCCTATCACTCTGCCGTCGCTCACCCATCTCGACACTCCCAGCAACACTTTTGGGCTCGCCACATTCTTATCCTACTTGCATCTTCCCCGCGCGACTCACTTAACGCTCAGTTACACCACCGAAGGCAGGGTCGACATCCAAGGCCACGAGGAGCACACTGGCCGACGCGCAGGCATCGCAGACGTCCTTCCCCACCCCCGCACCAACGTGCTCCCGTTCCTTCCGCTTGTTTCGGACGTTGCCTTCACCATCGATCGCAGGCACAGCCAGTTCGCAGCGAGCAGCCCGGGCCGGCAACACTCGGTGGACATTCAGTACGACACCGAGACCACCGGCATCTTCCACGAGGTGTACATCGAGCCGGAGTTCCAGCTCCGCGACCTCATCGACGTCGCGCGCGACTGCCCCGCCGCGACGCGCCTCGACATCTCCGCCGAGCACGTCGACATCACCACCACCGTTTGGCGCACGCTCCTCGGCCGCTTCCCGCTCCTCACGGAGCTCTGCTTCGAGGGGCACGGCTCGCTCGCGCCGCTGTGGGCCGCTCTCGATCCGAATCTCAACGGCGCCCTCGGCGATCGCACGGCGGCTCTGTGCCGCACCCTGCGCACCATCTCGCTCCGCGACTGTAGCGTGCTGTGCAGCCCGTGGGAGGCGGAGGAGGACGCCCGTCGCGGGTACACGGCCGTGCCGCGGCCTCGGTTGGATCTCTCCGTCGACGCGCTCAAGGCCATGCTGTGCGCGCGAGCGGAGCGCGGCGTCCCTATCGTCAGGTTTTCGTACGTCGCGGCGCCGCGCATGGAAGAGCTGGACGAGTTCCGGACGGTATGGCGGGGAGAGCATGCAGCTGCGCTTGCGGATCACGTCGCGGACGTGTCGATCAAGACGATGTACAAGGAGGTGGATGGGGAAGACGCGAAGGCTTCATGGAGGTGGACGCACTGTTATTATCTAAGTCCACACTTGGGAAATGTTACTTGACCAGTGGGGATTTCGTTGCCTCTTCCGCAAATTTGTTTGACTTACATGAAGACGTATCTAAATAGGCTTGCTTTCGGAGTTGTCAACATCTGGCGGTCGTCAGTGATGCATATAGGGTGGCGATCATTGGGACTGACTACCCGCCGCCGCCTGTGACGGATCAACTTTTATCGCCGTTAGAAGTCTCAGAACCCGCGAACTCGTGTGTCAATGTATATGACCTGTTTTTCTTGTTATCCTTATGCGGCATGCAACGCGAGAAACGTATCGAGCCTGCTGCCTGACTGGAGCCCGGCGCGTGCGCAGGAGTCAATTAGGAAACGATCTAAACACTTGAAAGCGCACTGTTTTAGGAGGACAGCACTGGACGACGCACACCTTATAATTTGTGCACGTAATAATGTGAAAGCGGCTCACCCCCCTGGCGTCCCCCCTGAAACATCTCCAGTGAGGGTTCAGGACGAGGACGAGCCACGGGCGGTGTCGCGGAGGGTGAAGTCGGACAGCCAGGATGAAACGCTGATTGAGATTACTGTAACGGGACGCGCACTGACAAGTCGGATCCGGGCCGAGTGGCGTGCCTCCTCCTCTTCCTCCTCTCGACGCGTGACAAGTCCTGTACTAGATACGTGGTTCCCAGTCCTCACACTGACAAATCGATATACTTCCGAAACCACGGGTTGTCCCAGACTCCGTCCGCGGCCGCCACTCGCGTCACGCTCCCAACCCCAGCGCCTCCCTCTTCTCCCTCCACATCTCCCGTCCAACGGCGGTCCGCCAGCGAAAACCAGCTCTGCCAGCTCCTTCCCGCGCTCGCCCAGCGCTTCCGCCAACTCGAGCCGTCCACGGGTTTTCGTACGTGTTCGCGATCGACAGTCGCGTGAGCTTGGGAAAGCATTGGAGAAGCGCCGCCCACTCCGCCCGCTCCGTGAATAATGAGCCGCTGATCCCGTCGAGCTCGAGAGTGGAGGGACCGTCTGGGCAGCGTATGATGTCGACGAACCGTCCCAGGCCATCGAGAACGTCTTCCGAGACCACGTCACAAGTTGCTATGTCGCAGTGGACGATGACGCGGTGCGTCTCGCCCGCGGTCCAGCCTTCGAAGCCGAACGAGCGCGCATCGGCGGTGACGCGCAGCCCGACGAGCGAGGGGAGGACGGGGATCGAGTCTGCGAGCGTGTCGGGAAGATAGTCGAACACGTCAGCGGCCTCGCAGCCCACGCATTCGACACGGACCTCCTGCGCGCAGGCAGGTGTAGCCGTTCGAGCAACCAGGCGGTGTCCGACCCTTCGCAGATGTGTTCCGTGAACTCGAGGACGCGGAGGTGGGCCATGGTGACCGGCTCTTTGAGCCCGACGTCCGTGTACCACAGGTCGTTCAACCGGTCTAGGTTGTCTCCCTGGTATTGTATACTGTCGACGCGGAACTCTTCGAGCTGCGGCGCGGCATGGAGGAGCCGAGGACGTGCATCGGCAAGACTGTCAACCCGCTGGCGAGCGAGACGCGCTTCAGGCGCGCAAAGACCATTGGACGTGGGACCTGCCAGCGCGCAAAGACCGAGATCGTCGTGAGAGCGGGGGCATTGTGCTGCTCGAATGTGACTGGTGAGGTGTACCACGGCTCCTTGGTGGGGGTGTCTGACACGAAGACGAGTGTCGTCAAAGCGGGAAACGTCGTTGATAGGAAGAAGTCATTGAGATGAATGCGATCTGCCTTGTTGAGAGGATTCACGGCAAGGGATCGGAGACGGAGTGAGTGGGGAAGGATTGCAACGAAAAGAGACCATTTTTTGCCCATGTCTTGGTGATCGTGCCCGAGGTTGAGCTGAAGGATGACATCGATGGGAACTCTGTCCGAGTGGACAAGACAAACCATCAACCACTCTCGCGCATGGGGCCCGCGTGCGATGACAGTGCTCCAGAGATGCTTTTCGGAGGCGATAGTCTCGTTCCAGTGGCGGGAAACGAGGCGTAGGGGGAGCCATCTATAGAAGCCAGGTGGGGGTGCGAACCTCGGACGCTCGATTAGGAGGTTAAACGACGACATGTCCGGGTCTGGCCTCTGAATGGTCCATCGCAATATCAGACAGAATGTCTCTTGTGGGATGTTGTCCATGGGGGCGCGATTTTCCGGTTGTGTTTGGGAGTGGATGGGGATGATGAAGGCAGGAAAGAAACGCACTGGCGCCTGTTCACGAGGGGAGCTGACCAATTGATCTCCCAGGCATGCCACATAATATTAACCGCCAGCCGTGCCAGGCCGTGCCGCGTCGAGCCTCTTCCGTCCTCGGGAGTCCTCGGGAGTCCACCACCACCCGCGTCCATTCTCAATTCTACCAAAATCTCGCCCCGCGCAGCTCTCGGCAGGCAGATTTCCCTCGGATCCTCCCCGCACGGCTTTACCACACCCGCCCAGCGTCCGCAGAGCCTCGAGCCAGCGACCGTCCCCGGGGATGGCGCCCGGCGTCGACACGGTACCGTATGTGCGGGCGTCGAGCCAGTGCCCGCCGCGCTTGTGGACGACTATGCTGACCCACTCGCCACCTCTTCCGGACGCGTGGTTGTCCGACTGCAGTGCAGGACGTGTGCCCCGCGCGTCCGCTTCATCCAGCCGGTCGCCGTATGGCAATGGCGTACGCGTGCTGCTGCTTGACACTGCTGATCAGGGAGCTGGCCGCAGTATGAGTAGCAGGAACCAACCGGAGTCGACCTCGGTCGCGCTCCACACAACCCGGACCCTGTACGCGCCCATGCGGCTGTTCCGCGAGGCTCTCGCGCCCCGAGTCGAGGCGTTCATGTCGTCACCGCCGCCGGCGCCGTGCGCGGACCCTCGACCCCGAGGTCGGCATTCAAACCGAAGTCCAGTGACCCGGCATCCGGCGAGTCGCTGTGAGTTTACCCCCCCCTTCCGCACCTGTGGTCACCACGGCTGTATTACAATGCCCCAGGTACATGGGAATAAGCTTTTGCTATTCCTGAGGGCGTTGTTATTGTAATAAACGTGGTGAGGTCTTTAACAATAACAACGCAAGGGGGTCTTGTAATAACTGGTGCTGAGGCTGTTAAAAGCAACGTGGGGTTGTTAAAACTGGCGTAGGGTTGTTAAAACTGACGTGGGGCTGTAAAAAAGGGTGCAGGGTTGTTAAAATCGACGTGGGGCTGTAAAAAAAGGGTGCAGGGCTGTCAAAAAGGGTGCTGGGTTGTTAAAATCGACGTGGGGCTGTTAAAACCGACGTAGGGCTGTCAAAAAGGGTGCTGGGTTGTTAAAACCGACGTGGGGCTGTTAAAATCGACGTGGGGCTGTCAAAAAAGATGCTGGGTTGTTAAAATCGACGTGGGGCTGTAAAAAAGGGTGCAGGGCTGTTAAAACTGACGTAGGGTTGTTAAAACTGACGTGGGGTTGTTAAAATCGACGTGGGGCTGTAAAAAAAGAATGCAGGGCTGTTAAAACCAACGTGGGGGTATTACACAACGTGCCAGCTTGTTAAAAGTGACGTGGAGATATTACAGAATGTGCCAGCCTGTAATAACTGACGTAGAAGTATTACAGAACATGCTAGGCTGTAATAACTAACACCAGGGTCCCACTGGGACCTACCTAGCTATAAATAGCCTGGTTCAGGTACTGCTACAGATGGGCATTCTGGCAGGTATAGTGGGCTGGAATTGGGGATAAATGGTTAGCTAGAGATGAGTATGGCTAAACGGATACGTTTGGGCTGGTATAAGCAGCTGGAATGGGGAGCAGTAGCTAGTATTTACCAGTAAATGGGCAGCCTGGGGTGCAGCACAGGGTGGGGAAATCGTCAGGCACTAGTTATTTATCAAAAGAGGCATCTAATAGCTTTCTAACAAATCCAAGATCATGTTGATTGGAGCAGTATTGGTGGAGATACAGATGTACCCCCGTTTTGGCCGATAGGAGCATCTGCTAGAATCAGAACTGGTGGATGGAATCCCCTGGTTCTTGTTGTATACCGTGTGGATTGCCTTCCAATGAGTGGGGTCGAAATCCGATCGGAGAAAAACCCCTTCATTACGGAATAGATTGCTGATTACGCTTCAGCCACAGCGCTTTTGATCTCTCGATAGCCACTTCCCATATGCTCCGATAAGTGTTCTTCTTTTTGCAGTCTTTTCCTCTACTCTACGGAAAAGTGTTCTAGGTGTCATTTTAACAAGAACAGCCCTCTGTACCTTCCTGTGCAGCTGTGCACACTTGCAGACCTTTGCCTCACCCCTCCATAACTACCCATTATATCACCATGGTGTCTTCTGTGTCGAATTGGCACTGCTCAAGGGCCCTAAGATATGTAATGATCATACTTATCAGAACATGTTTGATAGTGTAATGCCCCTATCTGTCCCCCCACTTGCTCCCCCGATCCAATCATATGTGATACTCTGATAGTCTCTTGTGAAGTCGATCAGAACTCGCCTCGAACACAGCTACAAGATGCAGAAAGAACCATGTGAATCAGCCCAGAATTGGTGAAGATGTTCCATTGGAGCCCAGAATGCACCACTGGGCTACAAAGTGTGAGATGAAACCTCTTCACATAACACCCACTCAACCCTGCAAGGAATGGTACACTTGCCCCCACATGTGGCAGAGGTGCTAAGTCATATTCAATATCATCCTGAAACATGTTCCATGTGTTATTGCCATGGGTATATGTGTGTGTGTGCCCTATTTCACATTTGTGTAGAGTGAGGGGCATGGCTGTAGAGCAAAATGAGCCCTGTTTCAGCTGTAGACACTGTTACTTCCTGAGTTCTTCACCGATCTTCGTGATTGTACCTGCGTTGGATAGGTGTGTTCAAGCTCTTATCAGATCTACGCAGTGTACATTTATCGGAGATGGATTCATGTGCTGAGGGGGGCAATGCATGGAGGAGAGATAAGGATGGATATAGCCTAAACAAAGACCGATAATGTTTTCATACTAGTAACATACAGTATACCACAATGGTCAAACAATACAACAAGAACCAGATTGATAAATGGAGCGGTTATGGAGGGGTGAGGCAAAGGTCTGCAAGTGTGCACAGCTGCACAGGAAGGTACAGAGGGCTGTTCTTGTTAAAATGACACCTAGAACACTTTTCCGTAGAGTAGAGGAAAAGACTGCAAAAAGAAGAACACTTATCGGAGCATATGGGAAGTGGCTATCGAGAGATCAAAAGCGCTGTGGCTGAAGCGTAATCAGCAATCTATTCCGTAATGAAGGGGTTTTTCTCCGATCGGATTTCGACCCCACTCATTGGAAGGCAATCCACACGGTATACAACAAGAACCAGGGGATTCCATCCACCAGTTCTGATTCTAGCAGATGCTCCTATCGGCCAAAACGGGGGTACATCTGTATCTCCACCAATACTGCTCCAATCAACATGATCTTGGATTTGTTAGAAAGCTATTAGATGCCTCTTTTGATAAATAACTAGTGCCTGACGATTTCCCCACCCTGTGCTGCACCCCAGGCTGCCCATTTACTGGTAAATACTAGCTACTGCTCCCCATTCCAGCTGCTTATACCAGCCCAAACGTATCCGTTTAGCCATACTCATCTCTAGCTAACCATTTATCCCCAATTCCAGCCCACTATACCTGCCAGAATGCCCATCTGTAGCAGTACCTGAACCAGGCTATTTATAGCTAGGTAGGTCCCAGTGGGACCCTGGTGTTAGTTATTACAGCCTAGCATGTTCTGTAATACTTCTACGTCAGTTATTACAGGCTGGCACATTCTGTAATATCTCCACGTCACTTTTAACAAGCTGGCACGTTTTGTAATACCCCCACGTTGGTTTTAACAGCCCTGCATTCTTTTTTTACAGCCCCACGTCGATTTTAACAACCCCACGTCAGTTTTAACAACCCTACGTCAGTTTTAACAGCCCCACGTCGATTTTAACAACCCTGCACCCTTTTTTACAGCCCCACGTCGATTTTAACAGCCCCACGTCGGTTTTAACAGCCCCACGTCGGTTTTAACAACCCAGCACCCTTTTTGACAGCCCTGCACCCTTTTTTTACAGCCCCACGTCGATTTTAACAACCCTGCACCCTTTTTTACAGCCCCACGTCAGTTTTAACAACCCTACGCCAGTTTTAACAACCCCACGTTGCTTTTAACAGCCTCAGCACCAGTTATTACAAGACCCCCTTGCGTTGTTATTGTTAAAGACCTCACCACGTTTATTACAATAACAACGCCCTCAGGAATAGCAAAAGCTTATTCCCATGTACCTGGGGCATTGTAATACAGCCGTGGTGACCACAGGTGCTTTTTGACAGCCCTACGTCGGTTTTAACAGCCCCACGTCGATTTTAACAACCCTGCACCCTTTTTTACAGCCCCACGTCGATTTTAACAGCCCCACGTCGGTTTTAACAGCCCCACGTCGGTTTTAACAACCCAGCACCCTTTTTGACAGCCCTGCACCCTTTTTTTACAGCCCCACGTCGATTTTAACAACCCTGCACCCTTTTTTACAGCCCCACGTCAGTTTTAACAACCCTACGCCAGTTTTAACAACCCCACGTTGCTTTTAACAGCCTCAGCACCAGTTATTACAAGACCCCCTTGCGTTGTTATTGTTAAAGACCTCACCACGTTTATTACAATAACAACGCCCTCAGGAATAGCAAAAGCTTATTCCCATGTACCTGGGGCATTGTAATACAGCCGTGGTGACCACAGGTGCCTTCCGGGCTCTCCGCGAGCTTCGTACCTTCCGCGTTCTGACAGACTATCGTCCGACCCAGGTTCGAAGCCACCCTCGTCAATTGCTGTTGTTTTTGCGAGACCCTCTACTCCCCTACGACTCCATGTACCTAGTGATCTATTTCGTACAATGTGACACGGACCGTGTACTACCACTACTATTACTGATATTCATCTTCTTCCTCTTCTTCGTCAGAGCCTCCATCGACCGCCGCTCGCGTCACGCTCACGACCCCAGCCGCCTCCATCTTCTCCCTCCACACCTCCAGCTCGAACGGGGGCTCGCCAACGAAAACCAGCTCCTCCAGCGGCTTCCCACGCCCGCGCAGCGCTTCCACCAACTCCACCGGACACCCGCCATCGACGGGGATCTCGTTCGTGCTCCCGATCGACAGCCGCGTGAGGCCGGGGAAGCGTCCAAGGAGCGGCGCCAACTGCTCCTGCTGCGTGAACAACGCGAGGATGGCGCCGCCAAGCTCGAGAGTGGTGATATCGGGACGGCGTGCCATGCGGTCGACGAACCGCTCTAGGTGATAGAGTATGAAGAGGGCCGAGTACGAATCCTTCTTCGGGCTGTGGACGATGAAGCGGTGCGTCCTGTCTACGGTCCAGCACTCGAAGCCGAACGAATCTTGAGTGCCGAAGACGCGCAGGCCGACGAGCGAGGGAGGGCGGGGATCGAGCGTGCGAGCTTGCAGGGAAGATAGCAGAATACGTCCTTGATGCTCCAGTCCTCGTAGTCGACACGGACGACCTGCGCGCGCGGCAGGTGGAGGTGGGCCAGCACCCAGGCGGTTGGCGAACGCTCGCCGGTGAGGTCCGTGAGCTTGAAGATGCGGAGGTGGGCCATGATGACCGCTCTGTGAAGTCGGCGCCCGCGTACCACAGGTCCTGCCACGCCGAATCTGGTTCGTGTTGCACCGAATCTATGTAGAATCCTGGGTGGTGTTCCCAGCAGAGGCGGAAGTCTTCGAGCAGCGGCGTGGCACGGAGGAGCCCTAGGAGGTGCGTCGGTAATATCGGCAATCCCCTGAGGAGCCAGAGGCGCTTCAGGTGCGCAAATACCGCTGGACGCGGCACCTGCCAGCGCGCGTAGACCGAGATCGTCGTGAGAGCGGGGGTATTGTGCTGCTCGAATGCGACTGGCAAGATGCTCCGCGGCTCATGGCCAGCGTCTGACGCGAGGGCGAGTGTCGTCAAAGCGGGAAACGTCGTTGAGAGAAAGAACTCGTTGAGAGGATCGCGATCTTCCGCGTTGAGGGGACTGACAGCGAGGTATCGGAGGTGGTGTATGTGGGGACGGATCTCAACGAGACAAGACCATATTTCGTCCCTGTCTTTGTGGCGGAGGTCTACGACAACATCGATGGGAACTCCGTCGGAGAGGGCGAGACACACCATCAACCACTCCCGCGCATAGGGCCCGCGTGCGATGATGGTGCTCCAGAGATGCTTCTCGGAGGCGATAGTTGCGTTCCAGCGGCAGGAAACGAGGCGCAGGGGCAGCCAACTGTGGAGGCCAAGTGGAGGGGTCTCAGTGCCAGGGTTGCAACCAAAGCCCTGTAAGGTGCATGGTTGCAACCATGCAACGGTTGAAACCGTAGTATGGTTGCAACCACACCACAGTATATATTACCACTATACACATCCATAATGAATGCAATAACAATGTGCAAGTTGTGATGATCGCTTGAACATTGACATCTCATAGTCAAACTGACATGAATATCGAATACGAGATGGTTCGAACTCACGACCTGAACAATGACGCTAACCAGAACGCTTTACCACTACGCCACGAGACCTTGCTTCTCTGTACGGGTCTTTTAACTATGACATCAACTCCGCTACTAATACACCATAACAACTCTGTAGTCTCATATGAGTTCAATTACTATGGCACCCTAATGCCTCTTCTTACTCCATGCTTCCTAATGCCATTGCAGTCTGCTTTCGAATTGTATTGAAGTGTGCTGTACACAGGTCGAAACCATGGTGTGGACCTACCGTTCGGTACGGTTCAAATGGGGCTGAGTATGGTTGAAACCACAGCACGGTTCAAACCGTCGTATGGTTGTAACCGCGTATGGTTGTAACCACGGTACGGTTACAACCTTGCCACGGTTACAACCTTGCCACGGTTACAACCATACGACGGTTTGAACCTTGCCGCGGTTTCAACCGTGCCGCGGTTACAACCGTCCCCGTTTCAACTCAACCATGCCGCGGTTACAACCATACGACGGTTACAACCATGCCGCGGTTCAACCATACGACGGTTACAACCATGCCGCGGTTTCAACCATACGACGGTTTCAACCGTGGTGCGGTTTCAACCGTGGTGCGGTTTCAACCGTGCCTCGGTTACAACCATGGCACGGTTACAACATCTGAGCATGCGACATCATTAAGACACCGACGTCATTTGAGGCACGCCCGGGGTGGCTGTGCCCTGGGCGCGCCTCGGGGCCTGAGCTCGAGTCCGAGTTTCTCGGACTCCGGCGTTCTTTGCGCACGCCCAGCGCCCGGGCCGCTCCCCGCCCCGGTTTTCTCGCGCCTCCGCTACGCCTGCGCGCGCGGCGCTTGCTGGCTCGCGCGCGGCGCTCAAGTTCGCGTTCTTCCTCTGTCTCCTCACTTCCCTCGCTCGTTCTCTCTTTCGCTCTCTTCGCTCTTCGCCTTCGCTCTTCGCTCTTCGCTCTTCGCTCTTCGCCCTTCGCTCTCTCTCTCGCTCTCGTCACCATGCCTGCGATGCACCCCAACCACAGAGAAGTGAGCGTTCATTCTGGTGCAGATCGCGCGTGCTTACCTTTTCCGCAGGTCCTCGAGGATATGATCCACACACGCCACTCCAAGCTGACGCTTGGACGCATCGAGGAGGTGAGTATTCCGTTCATTATCTCGTACGCAGCGCTCACCTTCGCCTTCAGGCTCTGCATTACGGTCTCGGCGCCGAGGTGGTTCGCCGGGACAACACGATCATCGTTCGATTCCGCGCGGGTAGGTGCCGTGTGCTCGCCGCGAACGACAACGTCGAATCTTTTCACGCGGTACGTCGTTCCGTTTCGCATTCGGTATCGCGCGCACGGCTGACACGGCTTCATAGCCTCACGACGGCAGAGGGAACGTTAGTGCCCACCACTCTCACCTGTAAGTGCATCTCTACCCTGCGCGCGCGACCGACGACGAGACACTTTACAGAATCGGGCGTTGGATAGTGAAAAGCTTCAACTTCGAAGCCAAGCGTTTCAAGCACTGGGAGTGGGACCTGATGTGCCATCGTCAGTGGCAGGCGCCCGCTTGAACGCCGAGTAGCCCGTAACGTACCGTACCGTAGCTTAAACTCTTCGTAATGCTTTGAATCACACGTACATCTTTTTTGCCTTGAAATTCTGTAGTATTAGTTCATGTTCGGTCATGTACAGTACTTGGATGTCACCCATCAAATATATTTCGTCTCCCCAGCCATGTCCGTTCACACTGTCATGGCAGTGAGCCCCGAAGGCGCTTTCTCGCCCCCGCACGCGTCTCCAAGAGGCGCCGTGGTCAGCGATAACAATATAAGAATCAGTGCTCCTCTAAATGGTGTAATAGCGGGGCAAGAGGGAAGGCGCCGCGCGACTTGAATGGTGAACACAACATGCAGCGCATGTCCAGCGCACTTGCACTCATGATTGCAGATATCTCTCATCGCGTTGTAACGGCGTGAAGAAACCTTCCTCGTCCGGACCGGCGTTGGACGTGCGCAAGAATGCGGTCACCGTAATATCATAGCGACCCAGGGTCTGTTGCCCACAGACGCCCGCAGAGCCGCGTCCGACTTTCTCGGACAGCCCGCCGGCCCGTCTGCTCCCGCTCGTTCTCGTCCTTCGCGTCTACCGTCTCGTCTCGCTCTCGCTCTCGCTCTCTCGCTCTCTTACTCTCTCGCTCTCTTCCACTCTCTCGCTCTCTCGCTCTCGCTCTCTTCCGCTCTCTCGCTTTCTCGCTCTCTCGCTCTCTCGCTCTCTCGCTCTGTCGTTGTCGCCCACCCTCCCGCTCTTTCGCACTTCGCACATTTCCCTCGTCATTCAGCCTGACAATGAACAAGAATAACGCGCACGTACGCACCTTGTCAGCAACATCTTCATTCTGCTAATGATGAGTAGATCTTCAACGTGATCTACGGCGTCGTCGAGCCGGAAGATATCAAGTTCAAGGACTTCGAGAAGGCGATGAACAGCCTGGGCGCGCGCAAGAGCACCGGCGGAGGCTCTGTTCGATCATTTACGGCAGCCTGTTGGAAAGGCACCGTGCACGTACACCAGGTCAGTCTCACTATTTCGCGTGCTGTCCCTCGTCGCCGACCAAAATGCCAGCCACACCCGTATGACCACTACACGAAGAAGAACGCCGGGAGGCTCAAGGTGAGCGAAGGCTGTCTGCGACGCATAGACTCGATGCTCACCTTGTCCAGGTTCAGTTGGAGTCCAGTGGATTGACCCACCGGGTCATTCGCCGTGAGGCCCGCAAGGCCGGCATCTTCATCCCGAAGCTGCCGTCCCAGTAGAGTAGTTTCCTAGTCTCAGTTTGCTTCGTTTAAACCTCGCCGGGTTCGATAATCTCGGATTGCCGAAGTGCGGGCGCGGGCGCGGGCGGACCGGCCTGGCGACTGAGCGTTATGTGCCGTCGTCAGCGGCAGGCGCCCGCGTGAACGCCGAGTAGCCCGTACACGACCTTTGTTCGTAATGCTTTGTATGACACGTCCGTTGTGTTTGCCTTGAACATTTCTAGTATCAGTTGAAGTCTCGTACTTGAATGTCACACCCATGAAATATATTTCTCCCCAGCCCCGTCCGTTCCCGCTGTCACAGTGACGCGGCCCTCCCGCGTGTCGGTCGCGGGCAGGAGGAGGTGTTATGGGGGCCAGTGCGGGTGGCAGGCCGCCGCCGCCCCGGCCGGGTGAGCGCGCAGAGCACGTTGATCGGAGCGCGCTCGCAGGTGCCTCTAGGGCTCTCATCGTGTCGTACTGACGGGGGCTAACTTAGGTGCCCGTAGAGCCGCGTCCTATGACCACGTGTATTGCTTCATTCTCGTGTGATGGAGCGGGACCCCGAGGCCGGGAACGCAGATACTCAACAGGCCAGAAGATTTCACGGCAACCCAATATCCTCGACCCAGGGCAGGGGACGTCGCGAAGATGCATGACGTATGCCGCATACCGGGCGGGTGGGGCAGAGGTGAGGGCGGCAGTGGGGTCGCAATCGTACAGCAGACGTGCGAAAAAAGGGGATATACGAGTACTGCATCCTCAGTCCCACCTCTCCCAGGGATACACTGGTCCCGCCAACCTCTCCAAAAAGTTACTCGACGAAGGCCACGGAACACCCCGCTCTGACCCTGGCATCCTTCCGTCGACACGTCCCCGATCTGAGTGCGGAGCGGGGTGGCCGTCTTCGAGCTCGTCCGCCCGCTGAGACAGATTGTCCGCAATGAGCATCAGAGAGGACACGAGGTCCAAGTTTCGCTCTTGAAGGCGGGCGGAGCGAGCTTCGGCGATGTTTTGAAGATCTTCCACGCGTCGTTCCAGAGCCTCCACGACCTTCACCAGAGCGGCGTTGGTGGCGAGGACCCTCCCCAGAATAGTACGGCATTCCTCCATCATGAAGGAATGCTGCTCCACGGATGAAACGGGCGCGCCTTGATTTTGCTATGGGCTAGATGTCAGTTGGATGGGGTTATATACTGGCCGGACACTCACGGGGGCATATTCCCCGGTCAACTGCGGCGGAGTAATTGTGCCGACCGTGGGGTAGAAAACGTCGCCTTCCTGGCGAGGGTATGGAGGGTCTTGCCACCCAAAGGCGGCGTTGAGCGAGGGGGCGCACTCGTGGGACATGGGGACTTGTGGGCGAAAGGGAAGAGGAAGAACTAGAGGGGACGTTCAACCAGACCTGTAGCCTGTAGGTCTCCAGCGTCGAAGGGCACGGTGATGGTAGTCCGGACTCCGAATCAGACTCCAGAATCAGAAATGGCGCTCTGCCGCCCAATGGGCGCCCGGCGCCGCAGTCTCATGATAACGCGAGGTTTCAGGAACACAGCCCCCTTGGATAACAATTAATTTTTCAAAGGACGGGCCGGCATGGATAGTAAGACGCCAAGGTCGAGAGCTAACCGCCGAACACGGATGTCTCAATGCGTTTTATATCTCAAGTCTCTCGACCGAGTTTCCCGAAGATGTTTATGAGGGTGCAGACACCCAGATAATAAACTGACCTGAAGTGCTAATAGCGTGTATAAAGAACATGTATCAATGCTACTCAAAGCGCACCTGCTCTACTACCGTACGCTACGGACGACGCGTGGAGTTCAAGCCGGCGCCTTCTAGTTATGACGGCCAGCGAGCTGCCGCCGCTTAAACCCAGTGAGGCCTTAGCGGTTCAAGTGGTTGACGATCCACAGACTGATCCCATCCGAAATATACACGTGCGCGCTTGGGAATCGAGGCTGTTGAGCGTGATGCCCGTCGGTCCCCGCGCTGTCGTGCGGGTGAGAATCCTCCCTGGGTAGCTCGAAGGCACCACGATGGTCGCGTTTGACGAGGCGGTGCGCGGTCGGGGGAGGAGTGGGGTCACTTAGGCCCCGGGACGCGATTTCTGGCCACTTCCGACAAACACTTCCCATCATCCCGTGTGATTCCAAGGGCGACGTCATCGACGCGTCCTTTATGCCTCGTGGATCCCAGGGGCCGTAGTTATGGGTAGTAATCATTTTGAACGTATGCTCTAGGGGCCGGCCGCCGATCGCACGTGCAGGATGATTCATACTGCTATCCGAGTAAATAATAGTAGGTCATTGTGGAGGGAGAACTCCAGAAACTTGCTCTTCTCCCCCCACCATCCCCCACCTTGCCTCCCTCAACGACAAGGACGTCACCATGGTTGGCCAGGATGAGGACGTGAGTACCTGTGTAACCCAGAGCATCGTTAAAGTGTTTGAGCTCACACTCACCAGGACATCATGCTGGAGCTGCACATCGCTCTCGCGTTCGCGAGGCGTCACAACGCCTTCCTCGTCGAACATCTCGTGACCCTTCAACACGAGAGAAATGCACTACGTCGAAGGGTTCGCCAGCTTGAGGCCCGCGGAGTCGTCCCCGCCGTCCCCGACGTCGTCCCCGCCGCCCCGCCCCGCCGTCCGCCGCCGTCCCCGTCCCCCGCCGTCTCCGTCCCCGCCGTCCCCGTCCCCCCGCCGTCCCCGTCCCCGCCGTCTCCGTCCCCGCCGTTCCCGCCACCCCCGTTGTCCCCGTCCCCGCCGCACCCGCCGTCACACCCGCCGTCGCACCCGCCGTCGCACCCGCCGTCCCCGCCGTGGCCCCCGCCGTCCCCCTGTACACCTTGTGCGATTCGGGGCTCACTTCGTCAACGGTGGTACGCGGTGCGCGGGACTACTCCCTCGGCGGGCATCCCAAGACGGAATACATGCTCTGGTGGTCCTCCCCAACGGCTCCCGACACCCGTCAATACTTCTTAACCCAACATGCTCCATACCCTATCAACGCTTTATGAGAACCTTGATGGGACCAGAGGCAGAGGCCGAGGAGGACATTCGGTTCAGCACCATTCAAAACGACGCGAACGCCATGGGGATTACAGTGTGGGGCAATCCGGCCCGCATGAACTTCGGCATGTGGGATATTACTTGCATTTCCACCCTCAACGCCGCCCATCATCTCCGTCTTACCGCCCTTTCGGGTGATATATGTGCGGCGAAGGTTTACTACACCATCTATTTCTTCCATGTCCACGGTTTGCTGCGGCGTCACGAAGCTGCTCGTTACATAGTTCGATACTACGCTGGAGACTCCCTCTACCTCCCCGACGACACCCAACTCAGAGTCCTCAAGGGTCTTGCACACAAGGGCAAAAGAATGGCGAGGGAACTTGGTCTCCTCGCAGGCTCCACTCCACAGCCCCTCCTCGACGTTTACCACGCCACCAAGTTCCCATTCCTCCATGGCTTGGACTGCGACGACGACGAGAGCATCGATTACTCCTTGTATATAGACTAGGGCGGCGCGAGTAGGATGGGTGCAACATGTTCTGAGGTTAGGGCTCTGGGTGCAGCTTGGCGATTTGCGCATAGCACTGATGTACGATGACACACCTTTGATTTGATCTTTGCTTATCGCCTATCTGCATGTTTGTCGCGGCTAAATCATACACCGCCATCTGCTACATACCTTCAGCCATGCTTCCAGATCAGAGGACGGCTTGGGTCACTCACCGCCTGCACCTCCTGAGACATGAAGACACCGCATAATTTGCCCAAATTAGTCAATAGCCCACTGTACCTCCTGAGACATCACGACATCGCTAATGCGCACAATTTACCCAGATTAGTCAACGGCTGACAACCAGCGTGCTTCAATATTACGCAACGACCGCTGCGTCACCTGAGGTGCAAGAAAAAGCGCACGGATATTATATTCATGAATGTGGCTCTTCTGCAACGACGCCCTATCTCGGCTCAGCGACTCCTGAGTGGAAAGGCGGGCGAGCTGCTCGTCACGCCGAGCCCCTTTGTACCCGCCCTCCATAGCTACGCGCCTCTTACCCTTGAAGGAGCCGACCATCTTAAATCCTGCTTGGACATACCTGACGATGCCGCCAGGGACGAACTGGGTGAAAGAGAATCGCCTTTTATCGTTGGTCACGTCATTCTGTGAAAGCTGGGTGTTGCCGTGTCGCAGAGCTGCGGAACACAGCAACGCCGTACAGCCCGGAGGAAAACGGACGAAAAGCTGCAGTTGAGGAAAATACAACTGGCCGCCTTGATCCGGGTTGAAATCACCGATCGCGGTGATAACACAAGGGCATCCAGGGTAATTCATCGAGTCCAAGTGATCGAGGCATACCGTGTGAGGGCCTAGATTGGCGGTGCAGGCTGGATACAAGCTCGCGCCAGCGAAATTAGGCTTGAGAGAGGGTTTCTCAGTGTAAAATTGGCGCATGACGTCATGGAGGTGCCCGTATGCGAGCGGGAAGTTATGACAAAGTGCTTCTGCCCATTCCATTAGAAGCAGTGTTAAGAAACCACGGAGTTCACTCACGATCTTGCCACTTCGCCACGCGGTACACACTCGGCGAACATAAAACTTGCTTCTCTACGTCCTTCTCCCACCCACGAAAGCGCGAGCCAAGACGGCACGGTTTCTGTCACGCTTGTCAGCCTCATTCAGGCAATTGCAGTATATTTCACCCACCGTCGTGCCGTTCCCCATGGTGAGACCCATTGTGACAGCGCCAAACTGTCCCCGTCTCGGAGGGGGTATCGCGCATCCCATAGCCTTGATCTGCTCAGCATGCCCCTGCCGGAGATCTTCGAATAGAGCAGCGACCTTAGTAACCGCCTCCACAAACGTGTCCCCATCGTGGCGGTCAGGGGGCTCGACAGGAGGGGGAACCAGCGCTATCAGAATTCTCCCGTCCTTATCGAGAACATGGAGCTCCGACCTAGATCACGTTCAATATGATCAATATGATATGTGCCAGCTAACTATCCACTCACTTCCCGTCCCACTTGAGGTATGAATACTTCAGCTGCCTCAGATACTCCATCGTGGGCGGCCGAGTAGGTGGTACGACGTGGTTAGGATCCACACCCTGTGGATCAGATCTCTTCGACGTCGTGTCAGACTTATCCACCCTCTTTCGGTCAACGCCCTGATACGCAAACTCGTCCACCTTCATGTCGGCGGTCACAAAACCCTCGATAACCGTCTCCCCGCTGCCGAGATGACGTTCGAGAAAACTCGGGCCGCCTGGGACACGCGGTAACAAAATATCCGCCCTCGCCGTGGGATCGTCCAGCGCGCCATCGAGCGCGGCTTGCAACTTATGCTTGACGTTCGCTTGACGCTTGCGCGTGCGTGCTTTTGCGGCGGCGTTCGCTTTCGACGGGACGAAATCACCCATGTTGAAGGGACGAGTCATGACCTCTGCCCCTGCTACGGGCTCATTCAGATTGGTGTACGTCGCTTATCCGGCTCACTCACATGGAACGTCCTTTGACGGGATAGTGTCGCTCGTACTGAAGGGACGGGACTTTACTTCTGCCTCCGCTGCGGGTCCGGTCAGGAATGGAAGGATGCGTGACCAAGTCACTCACATGAAACGTTCGACGCCGAAAGGGCACCGGGCGCAACGCCACCATCGTCTGTAGGCGAGATCGTGGGGGTGAAATGCGCTGGGATATCTTCAGGAGGGATGCGATCAGATCAAAGCGGCTAGACATGTTGCCTATGACTCACCCACACCCCCGATATCCGGGGCTACCTTCATGCGCATCTTGCGATTTAGTGCGCTCACCAGTTCGTCCTCTGCCGTTCTGTCGTCGTCGGCGTCATGGAGTATTTCCTCGCTCTCTATTGCATCGTAAAGTCCGTCCTCAAGCCTATACACGCTCGCCATACAGGCGACCCCGGAATCCACTGCATAAGCACCGTACTTTGGCCCGTTTCTGGGCGTTGGTCCCTGCAGAGAAGGCTATCAGCGTATGCGCCACCATCGTCAAACTTCGCGGGGCCCACTGCCGCCGCTGATGGAGCGATCTGGCCCGGCGGCCGGGCAGGACGCTCGGAGCGGGACTCCGGGCGGGCGCACCTCACCGTGCGAGCCACCGAGGTCCAAGGCAGAACGCTCTGGGCTACACTCGCACGGGCGCGCTATCAGCAGCACGGGCTGGCCGCCGGGGTCCAGGGCAGAACACTCGGGGCGAGGCTCCTGCCCTAGCCAAGGTCCACGGCAGGACGCTACGGCAGGCGCTCAGGGCGGGGACGGTGACGGGGGGAACGTTTGGCAGGAAACGTGGGGCGCTTGGGGTTGAGAGATGTTGGACTGACCATAACCGTGCCAAAGACGCTCAGGATGGGCGGAGAATGTCTGAGGGGCGGGGGTGGAGAGGCGGTCAGGCTTCGGCGAGGACAATGCGCAAAGTCCCGGGACGCATGGGTATTAGTAGTTACGTCGTACGCCGCTATGACATGGACGTGCATCGCTGGAGATTCATTAGATGGCATTCCCTTCCTGGCGTCGTTCCCCTTTTACCCCCTCAGAGACGTCTCGATCGTTTCGGGCGTGCCAGAGGCATCCCCATTCCCTGTGGAGACGTTGAGTATCCGCAACATACACAATGTATCCCTTACCTTGGCGATGGATCGCGGGAACAAGCCCTCTGCGGCGGCACGCAATCTCTCGTATTGCAGACTTCGTCTGTTCCATAACAGGTCAGCGTCATTCCAGGGGTGGCGTGTTTACTCACCCCCTGTAGTACACCGCCTCGCCGCTGTTGACGTCCAAATGCAGCTGGTTTGCCATCTCTCCCCAGCGTGTTTTTTCGTACGTCCACATTCCCAGGATTCGGTACATCTCCTCAGAGCAGAGATACACCTCCTCCTCCCATCGCGCCGTAGCCGCCTTCGTGCGGAACCACAATACCTTCAGTTCTAGGACTCATCAGTAACGCCCTGTGTGAGAACCCACACCACTCACTAGCCAGTGCGAATCGCTTCTGGTCCTTGTCGGATATATTCTCCACCCACTTTGCGGAGGACCAGATCCAGTGTGGCACTCGTTGGGTGTCGCCTGCATTCCTCTGGCTGTGGAGCACGGTGAAGTGCTTGAGGTCGGAGTCTCGCAAGCGCGGTGGGATGTCTTTGGCAGACAGGCGAAGTAGAATTGTACGTAGGCGGTGGTACTCCGCTCTTGCTGAGATGGTCGCCTCATGGAGTTTGATCGGCTCGGAGCGAGGCTTGCGTTTGGCGTGACGAGAAGGGGGAGGGGCTTTGGCACCAGCTTCCGTCTTCTCCCGGAGATCGGATACGGAGGTCGTAAGGACAATGGAGCGTCGCACGTTGTCCAGGGCATCTTGCACCATCTGTTCTCGGAGCTGAGTCTCCAGGCGTACGAAAGGAGAGAGTGCCTTTCGTTCCCGAACGTCCTTGTGGAGCATAGAGGGGAGCAAGACGTCGATCAGTCTCACCTCTTCGGCCCATTCTCGCAAGGTCCCATCCAGGATGAGGTTGTTCGCGCGTTGGTCTTCCATTTGATCCTTCTCCGTGGTGTGAGGTATGTCTTCAAAGGAGTCGTATCTTGGGAAGTCTCGGGGCATGTTTCGTGCCGAGGATTGGTAGACGCCGATGGCGGAGGCGATATGTCGCCCTATGTGACGGTCGTAAGTCTCTTTGCAGCTTAGGACCTCCTCACGGAACGCCTTCATTCGTTGGGTGACGAGCCGTCGTTGACGGTCCTTCTCCGCGCCCTTGATCCTATCGACACGTCTAAGTTCCACCTGAATTTCGTGCCTGGGGAGAATGAGCGCAGTGCCCGTGTTGCGATCGACGAAAACGTACCCATCTTCCCACAGGTTGACCGCTTGCACCATAGCTGCGACGTTTCCGATGGTTCGGGTGTGGTCCGTGTGGCCATGAGCACTCAGCGGAGGCAGCTGTGGCTCGGAGAAAGACATATCTAGTACAATGGATCCCACGTCAGTCTGTCTCCGTACACCCTTAGTTAGCCTGGAAACTAACCTTCATCGACATGGAGCACAAATGGATTGAGGCAGGCAAGATCGTCGTCTTCCGTTGGGTCGGCGATCGTATCTAGCCATGCTTCCATCTCCGTTTCCCAAGTGCCCAAGAGATCGTCGGGTATAGTGGACTCTAGACTTCGCATGAAGTTCTGGTGCTTCTTCCGACGATCGAGTGCCTTGTCGTGACGCTTTTTAATGTCGCTGTCTGTTGAAAGAAGCGTCTCAGGGTCTAGCGTAACGTATTAACCCTCCTTATGAGAACTCACTGATGTTGTACATCTTCGTCTGATTGCGATTGTCGACAGCGAACGTGAGGGTGTCTTCTCGATTGCCTGGACCCATCTCTTGCGTGCGCTCTGATGTCGGGTCGAGCTCCGCCCAGCACTGCTCGGTCTCCTCCCCTCCCACTCGGGCGGTACCTCGATGGGTCATGGAGTTGTACACGGTTTGGCATTCCTCCTTGTGCGCCTTGATGTGAAAGTCTCCGATGGAAACCTCGAGTGCGGGATAGTATTTCTCATCCTCATCGTCACCGGTGTCCGGGGGTCGCTGTCGCTGTCGCTGTCGTCGTGTCTGTCGCTGTCGTCGCTGTCGTCGCTGTCGTCGTCGTCGTCGTCGTCTCGTCGTCGTCGTCGTCGTCGTCGTCGTCCTCGTGGTCGCCGCCGTCGCCGTCGGCATCGCTGTCGGCGTTGGAGTGCTGGGAGTCGGCGTCGGCGTCGGCGTCGGCTTCACTCTGGTGGTCCCCGGGTCTGGACAGGAAGTCCTTCATGCGCTTCTTCAGATTCACTGCAAGCATACATCCCACGTCGTACCAGATCTTGAACCTTTTGAGCGTGCGGAAAGGCTGGGATGCATTCCATAATGAGAAGTGGATGAAGGCAAAACTGAGTGTGTGTCAGATGCGTCGAGTCCATCTACGACTATACGCCTACCGTTCGCCTTTGTTCAAGTTAATCATGCTGCCGCCAGCAACGAATCCATGTCTGCACACGCCTGCGATCAGGCCCGTCACGGAGCCGACGTGTCCAGTGTGCCCGCTGGCCTTGAAGTTGTTGCAGTCGCTGGGCTGTTGGGGTGTTATGTCAGGACATCGTGCACATATGGGCCTTCAGAGCCCGACCGAGCTTACCTCCTTGTCCTTGTCTCCAACCATCTCCAGGTGTTTGGCGACGTCTTCAGAGTTGGCGAAGTAGGAGCTGAGGGCGGCGTACGCAAGGTCTAGGGGGTCACTCGTCTTTGGTCGTAAGAATTGCCTGAAGTTTCCGTCGAACTCGATGAACCACTCGTCCAGAAAGCTGAAAATCGGTCAGGCATGGCCTCTGTTGTGACAGGTTATATATTACCTAAACAGAGCATCTCTCCATTCCCAGTCTGGGCGCATGTTCTTGCCCGGGTGTGGGCAGGCCGGGCAGAGGGTCACCAAGGCGTTGTGTTTGAAGGGACACCCAGGACGGTGGGCGTGACGCAGACAGAGCATCAGGTAGGCATACTCGCGGGTCGCTTGTAGAATCTCCCGTTCTCGATTCTGCGCGGAAATGTTAACGTGCGATCGATGTTCAGAATGCGTCTTCGTACCTGCACCGACCCAGGTATGAATCGATCCGTCATGCGTCTGAGTATGAGATACAGGTCGTGGACGCTACTTTGCGCTTGTAGCAGATGGGCTTCGAAGACCTCCATCACCGTCAGCGTGAACGCGGTTCGGGGCCAATCGCCCCAGGTGCCAGGGTATAACCCATGGCGCAGCAGCTGCATGGAGTGGGCTCGGCGGAACACAGACAAAACCGCACCATCGCGTTGAGGATGATACCGTGCTCGTGGACTAGCGTCATCCGAGTGTTGTGAGCTTCAGGGTCGCGGCATACTTCTCCTGAGGGATGTTGAAGATGAAGGACGTGGCCGAGTGTGAAAACGTTCGTGCTTATCCACGTTTTCTCTTGCTTGTCCCAGGCGAGTAGTCGATGGTCGAATTTGAGACGGTGGGTGGCAACAACGCACTCGGCGCATAGGTTGGGTTCAGGGGTACAATCTTGACAGCGGTATCGAGCGTCGAAATCGTCGAGGATGGTCTCTTCGTCACGATTCAGGAGGCAGTTCACGCACTTATCCGTCGGCTTGGGCCCCGGTCGTTTGTCGAGCAGTGTGTCATACACCAGGGGTGCCACGCCTAGGAACTGCGCCCTGCGTTTGTGGGTGGCTTGTCACGCGTTGGTGAGTGGTGTCCACGGTTGGGCGATGGTGTACTCACTATGGTGTTGTTGGCTTTGGGTCGACGCCTTCGACCTTCCTCATCGCTCGAGCATCCTTCGTCCTCGCTCTCTGTATCTTCGTTATCGGAGGGGACGTCGGGTGTGAGACCCAGCTGCTCAAAGGTCTCTGTGATGCGCTGCAGCCCAGACGGTAGGATATCCGCGCCAGGCATTCCTTGGTCGAGCTCAAGATGTCTGACCTTCCGGTACGTATGCGCCCGCGCGGAACCCAAAACTGGGCGAGAAGGAGTGTCCACGGGTCGGGCATCGCGCTTAGCATGGGCGGGAGTGACGCTTGCATGGGCAGCACCGTAGGTCCTCGACCTGGTCTTCCTAGGCGTTTGCGGCCTCGTTGGGTTGGCGAGCCATGGATATCACCAGAAGACGGACCATGGAGCAAAGCCAGCTCGCACGGAAAAGAGGACGGCGCGTTCGGCAAGGCACTCGGTCGCCCGGGCCGCTCAGTGGGGGCGGGACTCTCTTTCCTTCAAGCAAGGGGTCACAGGCCCCCTGCCGTCGGCTGCCCGAGTCGAGGGGTTGGCCGGGCTTAGTCACGCGTAGCTAGTCGTGTCAGTGATTGATTGGGCCATGGTCACGTATTGATGGAAAGACGACCATGTATGCTGCGTACGCGCACTATGAGGCCGCCAGGATCGGAACATTCTGCCATTGACCCAGAGCGCGGCCGCTTCATTCGCGTCACGTACGCGCAGGGCATAAGGCCCGTGTCGAGGCCCGGGCACTGCACTGATTATACAGCGAGGCCGCCGGGTCGGATTGTTGACCCTTTGATCCAGAGCGCGAATTGTGCATCCAGCTCTCGATCATCTGGCGTGGGTTTGGCTCAGCGGCGGCGTAGACATGAATGAGGACAACGGTTCGTCCGGTTGCGATGCCACCGAGGAAGCGCCTAACGTGAGAACGGCGCCGAAGCGGCCCGGTTTCAACCATGGGAAGACGCCCACGTGCTTGCGTCACTGTCGACCGAACAACGACGCAGAGCTATCTTTTACATCCACCTGTAAGTACCTATATTATTTTTCCGGTCTTCATGTAGGGGTCCCCGGAGCCACCAGGCTGCTGCGCGAGTGCAACACTCGCGTGCGCCGGTGGTCGCAGCGTACGCAACTATATGTTGTCGAGCTGAACCGGGGGGCGATCGGGAAGTGTGGCGTGTTCAGAACTCTGCCCTTTCCCTTTCGTCGATTCGTGGCGTACGCCATGATACCCTCCATCAGATCATCGGCTTCATGCCACGTCTGAGGGTTGGATTGTTTCTGAAGAGTATGTTAGGAAATACATTCTCCCCGGCGGCATCTGTTCAACGTTCATCCATGCCACCGTCTGCCCGCAACACCGTGACAGCCTCAGCCCGTACCCTAGGGAGCCGACAACTCGGCCTCCCCCTCTCCCTTCTGGTCAGCATCCGGGCTCAGACCCCATCGAGTGCTGCAACCCAATCAGCGCGGAGATGGTGAGAACTAGGCCTCACCGACAAGTCACCTTGCTGACGCTACCGCAATGCAGCACCATCCGTGGTCTCACCATTCGACGGTCGCGTCGCGTCGCAAGACGCACTGAACGTTGCTGTGATCACCTCGCCCAATCAAGACTGGGTTCCCGCACACCCTGTGGAACGACGCGTCGTCCGCACGTTCTCGGACGGCCTGTGGGGCGAACACGAATACTCGAGATGGCCTCAGCCCATGATACGCAACATGTGGCATCTAGGGTGTATACCCTCTCTCCGCCATCCGCAGCCCGACATTCCGCCCGCAGTTTGGACATTGCTCTCACCCTCACGCGATTGGGCGGAAGATGTTAATGTCGGCGTCCCTGGACTAGGATTTTTGCTCCCCGACATCAGGTCTCACCTCTGCCAGGCCGCCGAATATGCGACATCTAAGTTCATGACCATCGTCGGCGTCCCGCCACACCGAATTTCATATGGCGAACAGCTCTGTCTGGTTCTGCGACAGTGCCTTGAACGCATGATGCGACTGCCCTCAGACGCCGTCGTCTCAATCGCGGTCGGCGCACACATCCAGCGCGTCACGTA